TGTTGGGTCTTTCAGCCCAGGATGATGTTTGCGAGAACGAAATCTGGGTTACTAACTTGCTTGTCTACTTGCTAGCGCATAGAGGGTGACAGAGCTTGCTGAACCCCTAGCTAGATGAAAGAGCACTGGGCAGGGTTATTTGGAAAGGTTGTTCTTTCTCCTTTCCCCTGCCGGAGGGCCATTTGTTGCCACTGGATCCTGGTGCTGTGAATGGTGTCCTGTGCCGGCACAGCTCCTAAAGGTCGCTCCCATGGATGTGAGGGACATCCGGCCCGTTTCCCAGCATTGTAAACAAACCAGTTTTTCCACAGAAAAAAAATATAAATCCTTCAGATCTTTCTTTTTCTTCTCTGACACGAGACTACTGTCTGAGGTTCAAGGAGTGGCTGTCAATAGACTCTAATGTCCCCATGAGACCTGCAGAGGAGTTTCCGGACCCGTTCCTCCCCCCCCCCCCCCCTCCCCAACCACGGTCTTTGGAAATACGTCTGTGATATCCCCTTAGGCCGGGTGTCCCTTGCAGAAGAGCAGGTCTCATAGGTTCAGTCATGCAGGTTCCCCCCGTGTCAGAGGTAAGGGTGTGAGACAGATGCGGGACATGGTTTCTAAAATGGCTTTTTCAATTCTCATCATACTTTTGTCAATTATAATCGCAGAAGGGATGCCCCACAGGCCAGTTGGAGAGGGGCGGGGAGACGAGCGGTCCTGCTGGTCCCCCCCAGTGGCCCCATGGCGTCTCCTCGCCAAGGAGGCGGGACCCGTTGGAGAGGGGCGGGAAGAAGAGTGGTCCTGCTGGTCCCCCCCAGTGGCCCCATGGTGTCTCCTCGCCAAGGAGGCGGGACCCAGCTGGAAGCCTTCATAACTGGAGAGGAGAGGATTGTCATCAGCAACGCCCTTCAGCACCCTGCTCAGTTAATCCTCTGTAATCCAGAGTAATCAATGCTGGCAGGCGTTTTTTAGATCTTCTGTCAAGTTTTCTGTTTTCTGATTCATTTTGTTTCATTCTGTAACAGCGACGCTGGACCAGTTCTCCAGCAGGTGATGCTCCCCACCAATAGATGGAGTCTCTCCTCAAGGTGTTAGCGGTGTCTGCTCTTACCAGCACCACTAGCACTAGAGGGGTTGTTCATGCAAAAAATAAAATAAATAAATAAATAATAATAATAAAAAAGGGGAAACTATAGGGGAGTCACAAAAATGAGTTATAATTGCACTATGGGCCAAGATACAGTTTTGAATTGCAGGGCAACGTATACAACCCAGCTTTCTGTCCCGGTAGGGTGCCCGAAGTGCAATTGCAAACTGTATCTTGCCCCATGGTGCGATTTTAACTCGTTTTTGTGTCTCTACTGAAGTTACCCCTCTAAAAAAAAAAATAAAAAAAAAAAAAAAAAAAATTGAACCACCACAGTTTGTGGCCATCAGTGGAAGTGGAAGTCCATTTCTCGATTTATGTGTGTCATTCTTTTTTTTTTCCCCCCTTCTATATTCTTCTCTCATTCTTGCCCAGAGGCCATGCTTTTCTTTTTTTCTTTTTTACAGGTCCTACCCCTTACGAGACCTCCTCCCATCCTTCCTTCCGTCAATCAATTCTCCCCTGCTCACTCCTACTCCCTCGTCCTACCTCAGTGTCTACCACTCAGAACTGTCAGACTGCCTGTGATGTCTAGGGTGTGCAGTGTGCACTACTACCTTCTTCCCCCGAATACAACACACGGTCATTATAGCTGTATTTCGACTGAAAGATTGCCCCAGATACAGTTATAATGACCGTGCGTTGTATTCGGAGGAAGAAGGTAGATCCGTACACTGGGGACCCTGAGTAAGTTCAGGGGACAATTATGGGTCTACCCATGGGACCTGTACGAAGAACGCGTCCGGCTAGCGCCCAAAGTACCCGTACGACAGGGCATTTTCAACTACGCTTCAACCAGGGCTGAGCAGGTGTATGGCCACCATCATCCCCCCCCACCTTAATCGTTCGCTAGAACCCTCTACAGTCAAGTTTTTGTAGTTGTACTGCTGTTATTGTAATTGCAACCTAGAGGTTCTAGCCTATTATCAGTAGATGTACGGCCACCATCCGCCCCTCGACCTTAGTCGTCCACTAGACTCCTCTCCATTCGATTGTGGTTGTACTGTTGTTGTTCTGCCCGTTACTGGTTGCATGGTATCTGGAGGTACCCTAGCAGCCTAGCCTATGTCATCGGTAGGTACACACCCATCATCTGTCCCCATGACCCCCATAACTTGGTCATCAACTCGACCCCTCCAGTCGTTGTAGACTGAGTTCTTATCATCACCCACAGCAGTCCCGGTCTCAATCATCAGTAGGCCACCGTCTACTCCTGTACCTCTGCCATAGCTCGGCTATCTATGGTCTATTTGTCAACGTCGTAAGCAGACAATCCCACCACTGCCTTATCCCCCAGAAGTCCCCTTACTCCAAGTCCACAACCCTAGATAGGCCCACTTCCCCTGAGGGAGGATCAACCCCCCCGCAAGCCTCTGCTGTTGGGACCTCCCTTCCCCGTCCTACCTGCGGCCCCAACCCCTCAAAGGAAGGCCGTAAGGTAACCGGCTACGTGATCATCCACTCCACAAGGCCTACCTGGCCCATCCCTGCCGGCCTGCACCCCAGCTATCTCCGTACTATGTGATGCAGGCTTGTGATAAGCTCAGACCTGTACCGCGCGGCTTCCCGTATCCCTGAGGAAAAATCCCTCGGAAGCCCCGAGGCACGGACGTGGACAAACGGGGTTTTTTCTTTCTTTTTGTTTTTCGTTTTCTTTTCGAAACGGCTTTTTCATTTTGTTTGGTTAATAACTCCTGTGTGGGCGAATAGCGGCCGCGGTATGAAAACCAAGAAACGGGGGCGATTGGGACTTTTTGAATTTTTGCGTGCGCACGCCTAAGCTCCGATTTCTTCGCGCGACTCGCATCCCCGTTTCTTGCTTTGCATCCCCGCGCCATCTTCCCTTCTTGCTGTGCGCATTTTCCCCATGCCGGACTCTTCGTCTTCCCGTCCGCCCAGCTCGATCCTTACCCCGCGAAGTGATTGGCCGCGTAGTTGGGATGCTCGGATCAATGTGGAGAGCGGGAAACCGCGCGCCACTTGAACGGACACCCCAATCACGTAGGACCATGCCATCCCGCGGGTCGAACCCTCTTACTCCCCACCTTCCTCCTGTCCTGCTCATCTACAACCTGCGCTGCCCACACCTCGCACTGACAACCCGCCGCCTCCCGCGCTATAAATTCACGCAACCCTCTCCTCTCCTTCTCTTTGATCTCGGCTGCAATGCTGCGCGAGCTATGYGCGAGAGTCCGAGGCGYCGAACAGGCTYGACGAGSCCAAGGACGGGCGRAGTGAYGACGTGGGGTGGACCCGYGGTAGYCTCGAGGYGAAGCAGTCGGAGGGACTGAGCAGTGGTGGGGATTGGACGCCGGCCGCGGAAGTGCCTTGTGGCTATGGTGGTCGGTGGTCTTGGGGAGTTTTGAAGGCTGCGCCTGGAGGCGACAGTTAATTGAAATTTTTGTGTACAAGAAGGACTCGCTTTTATCTCCATTGYTGCTTTGTCTATGCATGTCGTGTGTGTGAAGCCCCGAGTGATGGGAGCTGGTGGTGCGCACGAGTGATGTCGAAGGTCCATGGATGATTAGATGTCCTGTCAAAGTTTGTTGATTGCATGCATGTATGCGTGTATGTACTCGTCCGAGCGGGGATGGGGAAACTGAACTGGGGGACCGTCTGCTTAGGAGTACGAGTGTGTTGATCCGGTTGTTCCCCTCCCCTCAGTGGTCTTTCCTGCGCTCGTGCGCGGTCTCGGCGTAACTCACTCTCTCTCTCTCTCTCCCTCTCGATTGCTTTCCTTTTTGAATTGATAGTCATCGCTTTTTGAGCTTCTCGCCCCCGTACCGGTGACGTCAACCGCTTGCATCCGTGCGGACGGTCGACGCCCYCGCAAGGGGAGAGAGCTTAGACTTCGTCGTCTTCCCTYGACGCACCCACCTTAGAGAGAGAAGAGTTGCGACGATTGTTGTATGGATTCGGTGTTGGTTCGGATGACCGGGAACGCGGGACCTTGCCCGTGTTCATCACGTACCTTCGATCGTCTCATCTCGCTACCGACCTTCCCCATCGCAGATGACGACAACGTCTATTGCGATGCGGACGTACGGCGCGCTGAGGTGGACGGAGCAAGTGTGTTGGCAAGACCCGCCTCGCGCTTGTGAGATAAGGGGGAACGGGTTTGTTTTGATTAATCGTTTTGATTCCCCGACTCTAATATTGCCTTATACGGGTTTGACGGTGTTGCCCTGGTCGGCCGCTCACGCCGTGTGGCGGCCGCAGTTTGATTGTCGCTGGTGTCGCCAGGGGCACTCGTGTTCTTGGCGACGGCTGGTCCTGGGTTACGAGGGAGCGACACGTTTCCCCGAGATTTCCCGTAGTGCGGGGGTGCTGCCCGCGCAATTTCGAATTCAGATGCCGGCGAGTTCTCCCACCGCTTTAACCTCCCGGAAACTTCCGCGCGGACTCTGTGAGTCCGACGCCGAGGCTTGAAGGCCTCGAACCAACCACCTCCACAGCAAAGACCCGAGGGTTCGGCCACTTTGTGAGGCTGATGATGAGGCCTGAAGGCTTCGAACCCTCCACCTATCCCCCAAACCCCTGACGACCGAAGTTTTGTCCTCCGCCGCCATGACCCTCTCCCCTTGATGCCTTTTTCCGTCCCGATGCATGACGGCAGTCCATTTTTGCGGAAACCTTTTTTGAGTTTATCGTTTCGGAGTGATCCGACCCCCACAGGACTCCGCGACGACAGTTTGACTCCGGCGAAAACCTCTGGCATGAAACGAGGGCCTCCCGTTCCGTCTGGGAGACTCAACCCTTACGGCCGAAAATCCTCTGCCACGCCCCTCCTAGAACTCTGATCGGCGACCCCGTACGGGAAGCCGCGAGGGGGCGTGAGGTTGGTATCAGAGCTGATTCGTTTCGGCTCCGAGGTTTTCCTAGGACGATTACCCTGTTTTAAAGTTCTTCTTTTCCTTTTTGATCCTTTTATTAGATTTTTTGCATTTTTGAGTAGGCTGGCTCCCCGTCGACGGAGGCCCGCGAATAGCAATCTGAACCGAGTGAGAGGCCGGGCTCGAAACCCGCCTCCCGCTATGGTGGACCCCGTAATTGGGGGTGAAAACGACGGTGACAACCACGCGGGGATGGCCAATCATCCCCTGTACTTTGTACCTCCTCCTTCCGAAGTTTCCATTTTCTCCGAAGATGACACCGACCCTCGTACCTGGCTAGCGGCCTTCAAAGCCCAGGGCTGGTCGGATCAGTTGCTCCGAGAACGAATTCTCGGAAGGTTAGCCGGAACCGCTTTTGAGTGGTATGGACATAACCCCTTCACTAATTGGGCAGCCTTCCAGAAGAAATTTCTCGATAGATTTGATCACATCGCACCGGGTCAATGCCTCCGTTTAATAAAGGAATACACGCAGCAGCCTCGGGAGACCTTGGCCAGATATGCTGAACGTTTTACGTACTTAGCCGAACGCTCCGGGGTGGACGAGAAAATGGTACAGACTGATTTCGTCAGAGTACTGCCAGATTCTCGTCTGCGGAAAAAGATCCGTAAGAAATGCAACCCTATAGAACATACCCTGACAGAGCTAATTCAGTACGCAATTAAGTACGAGAAAGAAAATTACGATGTGGGCCTGGACTCAGAATCCGACGAAGATGACCCTTCGGGTGTTCGACGCAATAGCTACTTCGCTACGACACGAATGTTCGAAAATCGCTTCGGGTTGGGTCCGACAAAAAAAGGCGTGGATCGGAAAGCTTCTTCCTCTGCTTCGGCCTCCCGTCGCCCTAGTCAAGCACAAGGAGGCCGGGGTGAGGAAGAAGTGTCCATGAAGGAGGTCGCGGCACAATTAGTTACGGTAGTGGCCCCGTTGACGGAGTTTGTTCAGGGCCTGCAGCGGCAACGCCTAGCCGCCGCACAACGGCAACAAGCGGCTATGGCCGCCGGGGCCCCTATGATAAGACCGGCCGTGGCCGGGGCTGTCCAGTCCCTACGCTGTTATAATTGCAATCAGCCAGGTCACCTTGCGAAAGATTGCCCGAAACCTCGAACTAAGAGTGGGCCCGCTGGGCCTTCCCAAATCCCGTTGGCTGCTCCAACCGCTGCAGGACAGGGGAGGGTGGCCACGGTGATGGATACCGGGGCAACGGAAATGGTGACCCCTGCGGCCACCGAGATAGGTCCCGATGAATACATGGCTGCGGCGATGTTCGAACCCGGGACCATCGGAGTGATACGTCACGTCCAACGAATTACCGAGGAAAGCGACCTCGGGCCGTGAAGACCAGGGTTCGAAGACCTTGCGGCGCCTGGTCCTGAATACAAGGATGGCCACATCGACGTATTGGATGCCTTGAAGGCTCTGGATCTTCGGATCCCCGTCCCTATTCCCTATTTGCTAACCATTTTCGAAGCGGCTAACGAAAAATTAATCGAACGATGCCTCAAAAACAGGCGCCGATTCGAGGAAAGTCGAAAGGGCAAAAAACCGGTCCTACGGGACCTACCCAAAAACGAGGAGTCGCAGCCCTTGACCTCAAAGGTGCACGAAGCCGACCGAATAGGAATGATCCAGACCGTAGACTCCGCCTCGGAAAAACCCGAGGTATTCCTCCGAGCCTATCCTATAACCTGGAAAAGCGTTGAGTATGACTGCGAGGTCTGGGGAAATCCCTCGGCCGCCATCCTAGATTCGGGATCGTCAGCGGTCGCCATTTCTTGGAGGTTGACGAAACAGTTGGGAAGGGAGGGACAGGTTCCACCCCTCCGACCGGATGAACTGTATATATCCGCTACGGAAGACAGTATTCATTGTAAGGGGCGAATAACGAATGTGCCTATACGGGTGGGGCGGGTGCATTGTTTGTGCGACGTGATCGTGCTGGATGTATAGGCGTATGATGTTCTTCTAGGCATTCCGTGGCAGGCAGCGGTTGGAGCGCGAATGCACTTTGACAGCTGTAAGGTGGTGCTCACATCGGCCCACCCCAAACCCCAAACGATACCAATGAGACTGGCGGTGCGCATGCGCACCCAGCCGGCGCCTCGACTCACCACGAAAGCCCATCAAATCAACATGATCTGACGCCTGTCACCAGGCGAAAATAAACCATCGACGGAAACTAACGAGGCTGATGCACCCGACCGATATCTGATCCGAGTTCAAGATCGGTGGCGCCATTCTTGGCGGCGAGAACCACTGGAAATAGTTCGGAGTGAGTCCAACCGGTCGCACGCGTTCTCCTCTGTGGTGCAGGGGGAACCCTTGCTGAGGGTGTCCCGAATAGCAGACCTTTCAGAACCCCCTGCGTCCTTATATCTCAGGACGGACCCCCTACCTGAAAGATTTACCGAGCTGAGGGGGCTGTGCGATTTATCTTTTCGACCTCCACGGCCCCTACTCACGAATGAGAAAGCCGCGATACTTTTGAAAGAGGGGGTGTGGTTTCAACCCCGAACAAGGGAATATCGGTGGGGACCGAGGGAACTGACGCAGGCCTTTTCGGTAGAACCCTCGGCCGAACCCGAACTGGATAGTGACAGTGACATGGAAAGCGAGCCAATGAGCCCGGCGGACAGTCAACTTATTGCGACTGTCCTTTCGACGAAAACCGACAACTCTTTGTTTGGGGCCTCGCCCAATGCCAACGCGGCGGTCCCCACGGTTACGAAGATGGTCTCCCTTCCTGGGGGAACCGTAAAAGTTTAGTTACCAGCCCGTGTTCCGGATGAATACCGACGCCTCCTCCTGACAGTTATACGGGCCTATCCTGAGGCCGTCAGTATTTACGACCACGACATAGGGCTAACCCCTTTGATACAACACGCGATTGATACCGGGGATTACGCCCCGATACATTGCCGACCGTATCGATATTCCCTTAAAGAAAGACAACTGACGTTGGAAAGGGTACGGGAATTCGAGCGGTTGGGGTGGGTCGAACCATCGCTGGGACCGTGGTCTTTTCCCGTGGTCCTCGTGCCAAAACGAAATGGTTCGGTCCGGGTATGTATCGACTACCGCAAAATGAACGCTATCACTACCAAAGATGTGTATCCCTTGCAGCGAATCGACGATTTGTTGGATACTATCGGGGCCGCTCGAGTCTTTTCCAAGTTCGATATCCGGCACGGTTTTCACCATGTCGCAGTCCGACCGGAGGACCGACCCAAAACCACTTTTGTCCTAGTTGAAGGCACGTGGGAATGGGTCCGGTGTCCCATGGGAATTTGTAACGCCCCTGCAACGTTTCAGGGGGCCATGAATATGGCCTTCGCTGAGTTCATTAATAAAACCCGACTGACCCAGCCCCTGATCAATTTCTGCGTGATTGTGTGCATGGATGATATTTTGGTCTTTTCAAAAACACACGAGTACCACGTGGAACACATTGAGTGGGTTTTGCATGCACTAAAAGATGCGGGGTTCAAAGTGGCCTTGGAGAAAAACGAGTTCTTATTGTCGGAGATCTCCTTCTTGGGGTACATCGTCACGGTCGAGGGACTAAAACCGGATCCGAGGAAGGTGGCAGCAGTTCAAGAAGCCCCGGCGCCGGTCACACTCACCCAGGTTCGGGCTTTTCTAGGGCTGGCATCCTATTATCGATGCTTCATCAAGGGGTTCACCGGTATAGCGAAGACCCTCACGAACCTGCTGAAGAAAGAGGAACAGCTAATCTGGACGTCGGAATGCGAGGCTGCGTTTCAGGCGTTGAAGGAGGCTCTGACATCTGCTCCTGTGTTGGCGCGCCCCGACCCGACAAGACCGTTCGCACTGTACACAGACTGGCAGCCTCACGCGATATCGGCGGTGCTGACTCAGCACGGGGCGGACGGAAGGGAACACGTCATTGAGTATGCGTCCAAGACGCTGAGCCAGGCGCAGGCTAATTATGAAGCGTGCAAAGTTGAATGCCTGGCAGTGGTGTGGGGAATCCAGCATTTCCGACCGTATCTTTACGACCAGAAATTCGTGCTGGTAACGGATCATCAGCCGCTGCTGTCCCTACGCAACAACACGGACTACACGGGGACGCTGGGCAGGTGGGCGGTGCGTCTGCAAGACTATGACTTCGACATCCACCACCGTGCCACGCGGCAGCATGGTAACGCCGATGGATTGACGCGCCTCCTGTCGCCCAACAAGTGTCCCGCCAACGAGCGACTCATTCCGTGGAGGTCAGAAGTCGCGGCGACGAAACCGCACTACGGGGAGCTACACTTGCTGTGCAAGAACGACGCCTGAGTCCGGAATGGAGGTTTCGCCGGAGATGGCAGACACAATCTCTTTGCCCTCATCCAACTCCCTTGCTCTCTCGTCTAGTCCCTACTCGTCCCCTGAAACGCATCTAAGTCCCTGTTTCTTCTGTACTTTGCCTATGGTCCCGGAGCAAGAAGGATCACATGCGGGAGGGCCTAGTTTTCTTTTATGGGTACAGTGTAGTCGGTGTCATACGTTCAAATCTCACGGACAGTGCGTTAGGTACCGAAGTGAAAAGACATGGGTCTGTCCCAACTGTAGAACGGACCAATTCACTACCGAGAAGCGGTATCTAGACGCCAGAACAACCGACGGATTTGCGCCAAGTGTCCGTCGGGCAGAAGCCTGGACGAACCTTCTGTTGCTACGGAGGCTGTCAGGCGACTCGCTGTCAGAACTTACTAAAGCTGAGAGGCGGAGAGTCACGGAGCGGGCGCAGGACTATCGTTGGCAGGGACCGACGTTACAAAAACGAAAAGTCGATGATGACGGAGGGTCTAGCTGGTTGACGGTTCCACAACCGTGTGGGGTAGCCCGATAAACGGCCAAGATGTGGTCGACAATGACCGACCAGGGCCGGGTGTCTCCCGCAGTGATATTCCGTCTAAGGGCGGTCTTAATCAGTCGGTTGGCATTCTCTACCAGGCCATTGGCTTGAGGCCAATGGCCCAGCGAGTAGATAATCTTAACGTCCACCCTAACTAGGTGACGTTCTACTTCGCCTTGAAATTCCGACCCATTGTCCATGTGTACCTCTTCCACGTCTAGATGCATGCACAAAAATCGATTTACGTACCAGGCTACCTCCTGCGAATTCCGGCTGGTCATAGGGTACGCCTCGATCCATTTTGAAAAATGATCGACGGCTACTAAAAGAACATTGAGTTCTCCCTGATCGACGGGACCTCTCGGAACGTTGATATCCGTCGTATCGATACTAACCCTCTGAAAGGGGCGCTCTACACGAGTGGGCACCATCGTCCGAGACATCTGTACCGGCGCCTTGTCCGCCGCGCAGGCCGGGCAATTTTGAACGATGTATTTCACATATTCCCGAATTCCCGACCAGTACCATCTGTTCTTTTCTATGGCTTTTTCCGTGTACTCCCTTTCAACTGAGAACCAATAGTGTCCCTCGGGTACAATTGTCCCCCTTAGTAGGTACGGAAGTTAGAGCAACACGGGCCCAGAACCGAGATAAGGCCCACCACTACATGGACTTAATAGCTAGGTCCTATCCCCCGTTAGCTCGTCGTCGACAGCAGGCCGTAGATCGGACACATCAACGGCAGATCTGTGACTACGAGAATCGACACACGTTGGCGGGACCACTGCCCCGCTATAAAGTTGGGGACTTGGTGCAGGTACGGAAATCTGCGCGCTCCTCCAAGATCCACCCACGCTACACAGGCATTTACGAGGTCACGGAAGTTGGCGCACAGGGACAGCACTCCATGAAGCTGATTCCCCGTCACAACTCCCAGGCCCGACCGCTGACACGGCACGCTGCAGCGCTCCGGCCCTTCCAGCCATCGCTAGGTCCCCTACGGACCTCCGCTCCTGCGAGATCACCCTCTCCTTCTTCATCCTCCTCTTCCCGATCTGCCTCGTCCATTGGTGCTGAGAGTTTCAGGGAGCAGGATGAACCATCGCCAGCCGGAGCATGAGCCCCTCGAGCACTTCCAGACGCCGCTTGCTGATCGCTTGTTGCGGCATCGGTTCAATGAGGAAAGACAGTTGTGGTACGGCATCCAGCAGGTGAACGTGCGAACGCCCGGGGTTGCTGATTTGGCGGCGTACTTGTTGCTTTGCGATCGGCTGACGTATGCGGGGGTGTACGTGGACGTGACGCAGTTGCCTGGCCGGGAGACGACCCGAGTATTCGTTGAGTTCCGCGTGCTCCAGGTGGCACCCAACTTCGTGCACACCATCGCCACCTTCATCGGAGACTTGATGATCCTACCGCAGCCGAATCGGGAGCCGGCGCGCAGCTTTGTGCGCGAATACGCGGTGGAAGCGGCCAGATCAGTGGCCAGATTGCAAGGACGGGGGGGACACCGATTCACAGCCCACGAAGTGCTGCTGCGTAGGGCAGAGGACGGATCCATTGCGTTGGTGCCGCAGCTCACCGCGCTTCTCCCTCCCTCTGCTCCTCTCAACTTCCAAGCTATTCCCCCTGTCCCGTACTAAAAACCTCCCTTCTTCTCCTACACCACTCTCCCCTACCAGCTCACGGAGGGCCCATATCCCATGCGCGAGTTCTCGGAGTATTTGGTGGAGCTAACTGACGTGGAGCCGCTGCCCTTCGCTGACGAAGACGCGTGGGAGTTGCACCGTGCGCTATACAAGTCGGTGGAGCTGGGGATGTTCCGGTTCTTCGTGGATCACGAAGACCACTGCATCGGGGAGCACTTCGTCGTTTACTACGTCATCACACGGCCCAAGCCAGCGGAGAAGGAAGGGACGGTGGCGCTGTACCCCTTCGCCCAACTCCAAACGATCGATCCGGGATTGTTGGAGCTCATGCACCTTGAGCTCCTCTCCATTGCGCAAGTGATCGCGAGCGAGGAGGAGGAGATCCAACCACGATTGCGGACGGCGACGGCCCCGCAGAGGATGTACAACGCGGTCGTCATCCCGGATTACATTGCGCAGCGGGTGGAGAGGTTGGAGGACTTCCCCGAGGAAAGGCCATTGCGGCCTCCCTCGTCGTATTCTCGACCAGCGCCACCAAAGGCCCCTAAGAAGACACCGAAGAGGAAGAGACGCCACCCGTCGCGAGGAGCGCAAGGCAGCAGGATTGGCGGCGGCGAGGAAGTAATTGAGCCTGCGCGTGCGGCGATGCTCGTTAAGGAGATAGTCGTGCCATCGCCGCCCTTTCCGCGTGTGCCCGATCTCAATCTTCATGGAGTCGGGCCATCAGCAGCAGCAACAGCCGGAGGAGGAAGCCGAATGGGATTTCCGGATCCCATATCCAGACCCCCCGTCCTCGCGGGACCTCTCCGTTCCCGCCAGCCACCCCAGGGTGCCCCGGTCATTGACATTAGTAGTTCCTCCGAGCCGGACGGTCCATCCGACAGAGGTGGACTTCATGGTGGAGCCCGCCACCATTAGGCTCGAGGCCATCGCGGGGGCGCTGCGCCCTGATCCGACCTGGGAGCCATATCTGACACCCCCTTTTCAAGGGTGTATTGCGGCGTGATTGGCTGGGACGCTCATCTACGAGACCGGGCAGCGTCCCAATGGAATGTACCATTTCCTTGTCTTCGCGGCGCAGAAGCGGGAGCGGCGGCCTTACACCGAGACTCATGTGGTGATGACGGGTCCACCCCGATCGGTGCGCAAGCAGGTGGTGCGAGCGGTGGCGGATCTGGCGCCACGTGTCCTATCTCATGTGTCGGGGGCCTTCCTCTATCCCTCATTTGTCCAGCACCACTTCCAGGAGGAAGAAACACCGATGACTCCCGCGGCAATGGCCGCTTTTCTTCCACCTATTCCGCCCCCTCTCAATCCCGACATCGATCACTTCCTCTGATCACCCTCGTCTACCTCTCCCCGCTTCTCTCCTTCTCCTTCTCTCCATCATCCTCTTCTCCTATGACCAAAGTTCGCGCGAGACGCGCTGTATATATACAAAAAAAAAAAAAAAAAAAACTTTTTACCGATCGGGCCAGCTGACGATGAAGGGGCCGCCCGATTGGGTGTATACTATGGGAGGAGGCGATGGAGGATGCAAGATGCATCTACGTAGATTAGGAAGATGATCGGGCCAACTGACGATGAAGAGGCCGCCCGATCATCTAAGACATGATGACCTCCGCAGTCGGGAGACTGCTAATTTTTTGGAACCCCCTTCGTATCACAGATGTGATAAGCTCAGACCCGTACCGCGCGGCTTCCCGTATCCCTGAGGAAAAATCCCTCGGAAGCCCCGAGGCACGGACGTGGACAAATAGGGGTTTTTCTTTCTTTTTGTTTTTCGTTTTCTTTTTGAAACGGCTTTTTCATTTTGTTTGCTTAATAACTCCTGCGCGGGCAAATAGCGGCCGCGGTATGAAAACCAAGAAACGGGGGCGGTTGGGACTTTTTGAATTTTTGTGCGCCCACGCCTAAGCTCCGATTTCTTCGCGCGTCTCGCATCCCCGTTTCTTGCTTTGCATCCCCGCGCCATCTTCCCTTCTTGCTGCGCGCATTTTCCCCATGCCGGACTCTTCGTCTTCCCCTCCGCCCAGCTCGATCCTTACCCCGCGAAGTGATTGGCCGCGTA